CTTTAACCTCACAAGTTCTTTGTTCATTCCCGGGTGCTGGCAATTCTAACTATAGGAGGAATTCAGTTTAGAGTTCAACTTTAAAACAAAGATGATAATAGTCCTTTCCCAAAACTAACCCCCTCCTTGCTCAGGGACGGAAAGCACCTTTGTAAAATGACACAAGGTTAGAATTATGGTTTAGGAGTTCTGTAGCCAAAGGTAACAAGAATTTTGTAACCTCCACAATTGCTCCTATAGATAGCATCGCTATTGTAAAACAATCTTGCATTTTTATGGACCAACTGGTGCCAACTGGACCAGTAGCCCATATGAAGAAACTGACTCAACTGGTACCGTGACCCCTACTCAAGAATTGACTCAGGGCAAGAAGACAGTTTCAACTCCCTATGATTTTATCTGAGACCCAACCAATCAGCATTTCTCATTCCCTAGCCCACTGCCTACCAAACTATCCTTGAAAAACCCTAGCCTCTGAATTCTCAGGGAGGCAGATTTGAGAATTATCAGCTGTCTTGCTCACTTGGTTGGTCTTGTGATAAACTTTTTCTTTGCTGCAAACAAAGTAAATAAGTGGTGCTGGGAAAATTGGATGTCCATATGCAGAAGAATGACACTAGACCCGTATCGCTCATTAGATACAAAAATCAAATCAAAATGGATTAAAGACTTAAATCTGGCCAGGCATGGTGGCTCACTCCTATAATTCCAGCACTTCAGGAGGCTGAGGTGGGTGGACCACCTGATGTTGGGAGTTCAAGACCAGACTGACCAACATGGAGAAACCCCAGCTCTATTAAAAATACAAAAAAGTAGCTGGGTGTGGTGGTACATGCCTGTAATCCCAGCTTCTTAGGAGGCTGAGGCAGGAGAATTGCTTGAACCTAGAAGGCAGAGGTTGCAGTGAGCTGAGATCATGTCATTTGCACTCCAGCCTGTGCAACGAGTGAAATTCCATCTTAAAAAAAAAAAAAAAAAACACAACTTAAATCTAAGACTTCAAACTATGAAACTACTAAAAGAAAATACTGGAGAACCTCTCCAGGACATTGGACTGAACAGTTTTTGAGTAATACCCCACAAGCACAGGCAATGAAGCAAAAATGGAGAAATGGGATCACATCAAATCAAGAAGCTTCTGCAGAGCAAAGGAAACAATCAATACAGTGAGGAGAAAACCCACAGAATGGGAGAAAATATTTGTAAACTATCCATCTGACAAGGGATTAATATCCAGAATATATAAGGAGCTCAAACAACTCTATATTTAAAAAAATCTAATAATCCAATTTAAAAATGGGCAAAAAATCTGAATAGTTATTTCTCAAAAGAAGACAAACAAATGGCAAACAGCATATGAAAAGGTGCTCAACATCACTGAGCATCAGAAAAATGTAAATCAAAGCTACAACAAGATATCATCTTACCTAAGTTTAAATGGCTTTTATACAAAAGACAGATAAAGATGAATGCTGGTGAGGATGTGAAAAAAAGGGAACTCTTGGTACATTGTTGGTGTGCATGTAAATTTGTACAACCACTATGGAGGACAGTTTGGAAGTTCCTCACAAAACTAAAACTAAGCTGGGCACAGTGGTTCATGCCTGTAACCGAGCACCTTGGGAGGCCAAAGTGGGCATATCACTTGAGGTCAAGAGTTCAAGACCAGCCTGGTCAACATGGTGAAACCCTGTCTCTACAAAAAATACAAAAATTAGCCAGGCATAGTGGCGCGCACTTGTAATCCCAGCTACTCAGGAGGCTAAGGCAAGAGAATTGCTTGGACCGGGAGGCAGAGGTTGCAGTGAGGCTAAATTGCACCACTGCACTCCAGCCTGGGAGACAGAGCAAGACTCCATCTTAAAAATAAATATATAAATAACGAATGATGTCCTGTCATTTGCAACAACACAAACGGAGCCGGAAATTATGTTAAGTGAAACAAGTGAGTTTTTCACCATACTGATGCTGGGAAAAGAAAAAGTGAAACGAGCCAGGCACGGAAAGACAAACTTCACATGTTTTCACTTATTTGTGGGAGCTAAAAGTTAAACAACTGAACTCATAGAGATAGAGAACGGAAGGATGTCTGCCAGAGACTGCGAAGGGTAGCAGGGTGGGAAGAGGTAGATATGGTTAGTGGGTACAAAAAAACAGCAAGAATAAGACCTAGTATTTGATAACACAACAGGGTGACAGAGTCAATAGTAATTTAACCGTACATTTAAAACCAACTAAAAGAGTATAATTGGATTGTTTGTAACACAAAGAATGCTTGAGGTGATATTCCATTTACCCTGATGTGATTATTATGCCTGGTATGCCTCTATCAAAATATCACCTTTACCCCAAATATATATACCTACTATATACTCACAAAAACTAAAAATACTTTTTAAAAAGTAGGCCATGTATTCTAATACCAAAAAATATAAGGCACTTAGGAATGAAACTCTCCAAGAAAATTTTAAAACCCTATGAGGTGGAGTATAGTGGCTCATGCCTGTAATCCCAGCACTTTGGGAGGCCGAGGCAGGCAGTTCACCTCAGGTCGGAAGTTCAAGACCAACCTGGTCAACACAATGAAACCCCAGCTCTACCAAAAAATACAAAAATTAGCTGGGTGTGGTGGCCTACACCTGTAGTCTCAGCTACTGAGGAGGTTCAGGTGGGAGAATCACTTGAACCTGGGAGCAGAGGTTGCAGTGAGCTGACATTGTGCCACTGCGCTCCAGCCTGGGTGAGAGAGTGAGACCCTGTCTCAAAACAAAACAAAAAAGCCCTATGAAAATGTACTTAAAAATGAGAGACCAAAATTAACACAAGTATTGTGTTCATGGACAGGAGGACTCAACATCTTAATTATTTATGTCAATTCCTTTAATTCAATGCAACTCAATCTAAAGCTCAATAGCATTTTTCATGGACATTGCAAATTGATTCTAAAATGTATAAGGAAAAGGAAGGAGGCTGGGTGCAGTGGCTTACACCTGTAATCCCAGCACTTTGGGAGGCCAAGGAAGGCAGATCACTTGAGGTCTGGAGTTCAAGACCAGCCTGGCTAACATGGCAAAACCCCTTCTCTACTAAAAATACAAAAAATTAGCTGGGTGTGGTGGTATATGTCTGCAGTCTCAGCTACTCTGGAGGCTCAGGCACGAGAATTGCTTGAACCCCGGAAGCAGAGGTTGCAGTAAGCTGAGATTGTGCTACTGCACTCCAGCCTGGGGGACAGAGTGAGACTCTGTCTCAAAAAAAGAAAAGAAAGGAGCTAAGAACAGTTGATTTTTAAATTCTTAAATTTTCCACACATAATAAAAAAAGAGTAATTTCACGAAACCCTCTTCTTTATCACCCAGATTCAACAGTGAACAATATTTTGCTACACTTACTTCATTCATACAACCTCTCCTTTTTGTTGGCTAAAATATACATATATACATACATACATATACATATATATATAATTTTTTTTTTTGAGACAGAGACTCACTTGCTCTGTTCTGTCTCCCAGGCTGGAGTACAGTGGCGCAATCTCAGTTCATTGCAACCTCTGCCTCCGGGTTGAAGCAATTCTCCTGTCTCAGCTTCTTGAGTAGGGGGATTATAGGCGCCCACCACCACGCCTAGCTAAATTTTTTGTATTTTAGTAGAGATGGGGTTTCACCATGCTGGCCAAGCTTGTCTTGAACTCCTGACCTTGTGATCCATCCACCTTGGCCTCTCAAAGTGCTGGGATTCCAGGCATGCCCGGCCAGCTAAAATATTTTAAAACCCCAGACTTCATGTAATTTCACCCCAGTATACTTAAGTAAACATCTCTAAAACATAAACATTCTTACACAACCATGACATTTTCACACCTAACAAAATTCACAATGCCACAGTAGCATCTAATATCTAGTTCCTATTCAAATTTTCCCGATTCAGATTTCCCTATTGTCTCATAGAGTTGCCAAAACGATTTTGAAGAAGAAAAGCAAGGTGTATGGGAGTTAACAGATTTTAAGACTCATATTAAAGACACTGTAGTATTTTGGCGGCAATGGGAAAAACAAAACCAAAACCAAAAACACCCACCACTGGAACAGAAGAATGTGCCCACAAATGGACCCAACAGTGTGCCCAGAAATAGGACCTGAGTTCCAATACTGGAACTTGGTATTGCAAGAGTTTGGGGAATTTGGCATTACAATTCATTGGGAAAAGGACAGACTATTAATAGTACTGAAACAATTGGTGAAAAAAATAGGTGATCCTAGCTGGGTGCAGTGGCTCATGCCTGTAATCCAAACACTTTGGGAGGCTAAGGCAGGAGGATGGCTTGAGGCTAGGCGTTCAAGACCAGCCTGGCCAACATAGAAAGACACTATCTCTATTGAAAAAAAAAATAATCCTGGATCCTCGTATCATACAACAAAGAAAAAACTTGTTGATGGAATAAAGATCTAAGTATTAAAATAAATATTTAAAAATTTTTAGAAGAAAATACAGAATTCTTTGTAATCCAGAATCAAGAAGCCACACAAAAAGGCAGTCTTTAGAGGTTTGAAAAAAATTAACAAATTCAATCATATTAAAATTTAACTTTCAGTACCTCAAAGATACCATAAATAAACTAAAAGCCTAACCAAAGACTGGGAGATGCTATCTGCAATATGCGTTTCTGACAAAGGATCAATATCCAGAATATAAAAGAATTCTGGCTGGTTGCTGTGGCTCACGCCTGTAATTCCAGTTCTTTGGGAGGCTGATGCTGGAGGATTGCTTGAGGCCAGGAGTTTGACACCAGCCTGAACAACAAAGTGAAACCTCATCTCTATCAAAAAAAACAAAAAATATGAATAAGTCCAACAAATCAGTAAGACATTAAAAAAAAAAAAAAGTAAGTAAACCAACAGAAAAACAGGAGAAAATCTTAAGCAGCCAGTAAGTTTAAAAAAAGATGATGAACTTTATCAGTAATCAGATAAATGTTAATTGAAACAATAAGTACATACCATTTTCAATCTATGTAGTTGACAAATGATTTAAAGTCTGACAATGCAAATGATGTTGAGAATGTGGTGGGACAGTAAACTGGTCCAATCATTCTGGAGAGCAATTTGACTGTATCTGGTGAAGCTGATGGCTGTGATACTCTGAAGCAACAATTCATAATTTGTTTCAATTATAGTTCCATTCTCTAGAGAAACTCAACCCTGCATACATGATGACTCACAGATGACTATCCATAGAAGGAATGTATTAGGGGAAAACATTTAAAAAAAAAAAACAGCTTGTTTATCAACAAGAATTTGGATAGAAAATTTCAGTGGAGTCATATAATGGAATCTAATCATCAGTGAGCATGAATAAACTGGATATACATGTATCATATAATATAGAGGATTTCAGAAATAATGTTGATTCAGAATAACAAGTTGCAGGCCAGGTGTGGTAGGTCACACCTGAAATCCTAGCACTTTGGGAGGCTGAGGCAGGTGGATCACCTGAGGTCAGTGGTTGAGAGAATGAGGCAGGAGAACCGCTTAAAGCTGGGAGGCAGAGGTTGCAGTGAGCTGAGATCAGGCCACTGCACTCCAGCCTGTGTGACAGAGTGGGACCCTGTCTCAAAAAATAAAATAAAATAAAATAAGTTGCAGAAGAATATACCAAATATAGGCTAAAGTATGTGATACTGGCTGGGTACAGTGGCTCATACCTGTAATCTCAGCACTTTGGAAGGCCAAGGTGGGAAGATCACTTGAGCCCACATGTTGAAGGCCAGCCTAATGAACATAGTGAGACCCTATATCTACAAAAAAATTAAAAAGGAAAAATTTAGTGGGGCATGATGGCATGCACCTGTACTCCCAGCTGGTTGGGAGGCTGAGGCAGAAGGATTCCTTGAGATCAGGAGTTCAAGCCTTCAGTGAGCTATGATTATGCTACTATACTCCAGCCAGGGCAACACACAGCAAGTTCCTATCTTTAAAAAAAAAAAAAAAAGAAAAGGGACCGGGCACAGTGGCTCATGCCTATAATCCCAGCATTTAGGAGGCCGAGGCGGGTGGATCACGAGGTCAAGAGATCGAGACCATCCTGGTCAACATGGTGAAACCCTGTCTCTACTAAAAATACAAAAAATTAGCTGGGCATGGTGGGTGTGCACCTGCAGTCCCAGCTACTCGGGAGACTGAGGCAGGAGAATTGCTTGAACCCAGAAGGCGGAGGTTGCAGTGAGCCGAGATCGTGCCATTGCACTCCAGTTTGGGTAACAAGAGCAAAACTCCGTCTCAAAAAAAAAAAAAAAAAAAGAAAGAAAAAGGAAAAAGGTATGCAATACTATATACTGTTTTGAGACACACAGATTTGGGACACACTGAAAAATGAGATATAACCCAAAAGGCCATCAATAGGGGATTGGTTAAATAAAGTGAGAAACAAATTCCACATAATCTTTTTAAAATGATGAAATAAATCAGTATTTTAAAAGTCCAAGAGACGAAAGGTGAAAGAGTACAGAGTAGCTTATTTAATGATTCCTTCCATTTTTATAAAATTAAACGCATGCTAGCAAATGAATAGTAGAAATTATGAGTGTTGAAATAAGGTCTACAGCACCAAATCTTCAATGTTTGTAGTACAAAGTATAGACAATGTCTAAAACTGGGGGCGGGGGAAAACACCTCAAGAAATAGGCCAGGTATAGTGACTCACACCGTAATCCCAGCAATTAGGGAAGCCTAGGCAGGAAAATCACTTGAGGCCAGGAGACTATCAAGGGCACTATAGCGAGACCCCATCTCCGCAAAAAAACTAAAAACAAAAAATTAACTAGGTGCAGTGGCATGGGCCTGTAATCCCAGTTACTTGGGAGGTGGAGTTGGAAAGATTGCTATGAGTTCAAGGCTGCAGTGACCTACAACTGTTCCACTGCACTCCAGCCTAAGTCACAGAACAAGATCCCAACTCCAAAAATGAAAGTAAAGAAAGAGAGAGAGGCTGGGCTCAGTGGCGCACACCTGTAATCCCAGCACTTTGGGAGGCCGAGGTGGGTGGATCACCTGAGGTAAGGAGTTTGAGAGCAGCCTGACCAATATGGCGAAAACTGTCTCTATTAAAAAATACAAAAATTAGCCGGGCGTGGTGGTGGGCATCTGTAATCCTAGCTACCTGAGAGGCTGAGGCAGAAAAATCGCTAGAACCTGGAAGATGGAGGTTGTAGTGAGCTGAGATCACGCCACTGCACTCTAGCCTGAGTGACAGAGCAAGACTCCGTATCAAAATAAATAAATAAAATATGCATAAAAAAAGAAAGGGAGATAAATGCCAGAGAAAATAGTTAAAAGAATTGAAAGTGGTGCTCCGAGGAGTGAAAACCACAGATAGAGAGGAGTTAGGCATGTTAAAAGCCTTGGTGTATTATGTGACTTTTAAAACCATAAAGATGTATTATTGGAAAAAAGTAAAAATGAAATATAAAATACTCCACTATGAGTGACCTTCAAGAAGAAAAGTCTATTACAGAGAAACAGTGTGGATTCTAGGTCCTGATTTACGCTACACACAAGGAACAACCAGATGTAGTGGCTCACACCTGTAATCCCAGCACTTTGTATGGTTGAGACTGGAGGATTACTGGAACCCAGGAGTTTAAGGTTACAGTGAGCTATGATCATGCCACTGCATTCCAGCTCCAGCCTGGGCAACAGATGGAGATCCTGTCTCAAAAAAAAATAAAATAAAATAAAAAGGCAAGCAACCAAAGAACCTCCAAGGACATTCTGATAACTAGTGAACTCAATATGCCACCAGTGTGAAGAGCTGAAACCAGTCAAATTTTTTTTTAATTTTTATTTTTGAGATGGGATCTCTGCCTGGCCCAGGCTAGTCTCAAACTCCTGGCCTCAACCAATCCTTCCATGCGATAAAAGGCCAATACATTCTTTTTTTGAGACAGAGTCTCATTCTTGTTATCCAGGCTGGAGTGTAACTAGCAATCTCAGCTGTAACCTCTGCCTCCTGGGTTTAAGTGATTCACCTGCATCAGCCTCCCGAATAGCTGGGATTACAGGCGCCTGCCACACCTGGCTAATTTTTGTATTTTAGTAGAGATAGGGGTTTCACCATGTTGGCCGGCTGGTCTCGAACTCCTGACCTCAGGTGATTCTGGTGGCTCGACCTCCCAAATACGTCTGGTATTACAGACATAAGCCACCACACCCAGCCAAAAGGCCAATACATTTTTTTTTTTTGAGACGGAGTTTCGCTCTTATTACCCAGGCTGGAGTGCAATGGCGGGATCTCAGCTCACCACAACCTCCGCCTCCTGGGTTCAGGCAATTCTCCTGCCTCAGCCTCCTGAGTTGCTGGAATTACAGGCATGCGCCACTATGCCCAGCTAATTTTTTGTATTTTTAGTAGAGACGGGGTTTCACCATGTTGACCAGGATGGTCTCGATCTCTTGACCTTGTGATCCACCCACCTAGGCCTCCCAAAGTGCTGGGATTACAGGCTTTAGCCACCGTGCCCGGCTAGGCCAATACATTTTTAACAGTATCTACAAATGCACTAGCCATAGCCCTAGGTACAATGTGAATGGAATTAAATAGACAATAAACTCAGGAGGATTTCAACTTTTGACAACTGCCACATCAATGACAGAAATACAGCAAAGCATAGGGAAGGAGCGAGGCATACCTGTTTTAGCGGAATGAACAAAGAAGGCCTCTAGGGAGGAGACATTTGAGTGAAACTTGAATGATAAGGAATCAGCTATGCCATGTTCTAGAGGGAAAATATACTAACCAAGAAGCCAGACCAAATGTAATGATCCTGTGATTCTGGGACTGGAATGAATTTAATTTGTACAGGGACAGAAAAGTCAGTGTAGCTATGGTATAGTGAACAAGAGACAGAACTAAAAAGATGACTAAGTCAGGCTTGGTGACATGTGTCTATAGTCCCAGATACCTTGGAGGCTGAGGTGGGAGGATGACTTTAGCCCAGGAGTTTGTGGCTGCAGTGAGCTACGGCTGTGCCATTGCACTTCAACACTTCTGCCTGGGCAACCTCCCCCCGCCCCCACCCTAAAAAAAAGATGACGAAAGATTCAGGAGAGTTAAGGGTTTTACAAGAGAGTGGCTATAGTGGGAGATCATAAAACATAAACCAGAAAACAAGGACATGACATCAGCAAAAAAGTTTAAAGAAAAAAAAAGATAGGCTAGGCACAGTGGTTCATGCCTGTAAGCCCAGCACTTTGGGAGGCCAGGGTGGGTGGATCACCTAAGGTCAGGAGTTTGAGATCAGCCTAGCCAACATGGTGAAACCCCATCTCTCCTAAAAATACAAAAATTAGCCAGGCAAGGTGGTGGATGCCTGTAATCTCAGCTACTCGAAAGGCTGAGGCAAGAGAGTGCTTGAACCTGGGAGATGGAGGCTGCAGTGAGCTGAGATCGCACCATTGCACTCCAGCCTGGGTGACAAGAGCGAAACTCCATCTCAAATAATAGTAATAATGATGATGATGATGATGGCAGGAGTAACTGAGAAAAACAAGAGCCAGGTGTTAAGTGAATGCAAGAGAGCACCTGGGAGGCTGGAAGATGACCAAAAAAAGGGGGAATTAATGTTAAATAGGATGACTTCCAAGGAGTTAGGGTTTTTGAAGTGGATTCAAAGTAGCAACAGTAACCAAAGAAACATCAGGACACCTGAATTTAAATACTAGCTTCAGCAATTACTAGCTGTGTGATTTTGACAAATCACTAGTCTCTCACAGCCTCAGGTACCTCAAGTATAAAATAGGGTTACTTTTAACCACTTTACAGAGTGAAGGTTAAATGAAACACTGTAGGCGAAAGTGAGTTATGTAATTATGACCCAAGTCTTTTGAATATAGAAAGCTACTGAACTCATTTTAGACTTCACATCAATGTTGCTAATGCTAGCGAAATCTATACACAGAACACACAGATAAAGCACACTGAGTGGATGCAGGTGAGGCAGAAACGGTGACCTGGAAAGATCATGGTATCAAATAGTTCTGAGGACCGAAAAGACAGGCAGTTTTTGCCCCCTTATACGAGTTCATGCAGTGAAAGTAACATACAGCTTCCTCTTCATTTCGATTGAAATTAAAACGGGTTCCGTTTGGGAACACAAAGCACGAATCAATTCTTTTGTCTCTGAAAATGACATGAGTAACTCATTATCAGAGTATGGTCAAGACTAATAAAATGGCTATCAGTCAATTCAAAATACAGACATCTCCAAGGTGACTTGAAGAAAAACAACATAAAAGATAACTCACTTTCTTAATCGCGACGATTTGGTTGGTATTCTTATCTCTGGCCTTGTAAACCGTGGCAAACTGGAAAGAAAAATAGGAACAACATAAGTTTCGTGGGAGCTTTTGTGTTTGCCTTTTTATATTTCGCGAAACGAAGAGCCCAGAGTTCCTGAGCGGACCGGCGGCGGCTGGAAACGTGGCGGGTCAGTCTCCGTCCAGCTCCACGCTACTCTTCAGCAAGGAGACACCGCTCAGGGATTCACCCCCAGATGTAAAGAGGCAGCAAGTGCGTCTGGGCGGTCTCCCCCAACGAGAACCAACAGCCGAGCCAGACCTCTGGCCTCCAGGGGAAAAGCGGCAACGGGGCGCGGGGCTGTCCGCTCCGGGCCCTCCCGGTCCCGCCCGACAGCCTCACCTGTCCCTCTCCAAGGAAGTCCAGCTTCTCATAGCGCTTCGCCCGAGACTTCACGTCCAGAGCCATTCAGCGCCGCAGAGCCCTACTCCAGCCGAAAGAAGCGAACTCCCAGAACAGCAGCAATTTAAAGCTACCTTAAAGCTTTCCACAGCCACTTCCGTTCACCGCGGTCCGTCGCGCTGGTATCCCTGCCTCACTTCCGTGGTAGGCGGAGGAAGCCGCGCGAGGCCGGGGCGGTTGGCGGTCCCCACCCGTCACGTGACGTCTGTCGGGGTCTGAAGTGGAGCATCTTCGATGGCTGCTGTGTCACTCTGTTACCGTTTTTTCTACATTACCAGGGACTCGTCAGCGTTCTAAGACGGTGTCCCCGTGTTCGGGATTTGGTAGGTGTCTATGAATGTGGAAGATTTGGCTCTGTACCTGTTCTCGCTCGAGCGCGTCCTGGCGCCATGGTTGCTATGGACGCCAAACCCTGCTATCTCGGATGACTGAGACGAGTGCCACGTTCTTGCAAGCTGGTTAAGAGCATTGTTAGTTCAGTCCCTTTATGAAGAAGCAGGGCAAAGAAATCCAACTCATCTGAAACGTGCTGTGGGAATGGGCTTCTGGTCCTCCTCAGTTTTCTACTCGGTAAAGTGGAAAAAATAACGAACTACATCACAGATGGTTGTGGGGGTTAAATAAAATATGCAAAAAGCTTAGACATTAGCTTAATTGAGACAGTGCTCAATTAACTGTTAGCTGTGGTGAGTATCCAACCCCTTGATTATCATCGATTGTCATCACAAACACACTAATCCATTTATTCAAAAATATATACTGAGTACTTTTCCTTTTTCATTTTTCCCTCTTATGGTGCCGATACTGTTTTTTGTTGTTGTTGTTGTTTTTATTTTTTTGAGACGGAGTTTCGCTTTTGTTACCCAGGCTGGAGTGCAATGGCGCGATCTTGGCTCACCGCAACCTCCGCCTCCTGGGTTCAAGCAATTCTTCTGCTTCAGCCTCCCGAGTAGCTGGTACTACAGGCGCGAGCCACCATGCCCAGCTAATTCTTGTTGTTTTTAACTGAAACATCCAAGTAGATATTGTTTTCTGTGTGCCAAGCACCATTGTAGAATCTGAGATAGCAGCAGGGAACAAAGATCCCTGCCTTCCAATGGGAGGAGATAAAAAAGTAAAATATGTGTTATGATACGTAGTAATAAGTGCTGTAGAGATAATAAAGCAGATAAAGGATAATAGAGCAGGGCAGACGCAGGGATGGTTTTAAATACGGTAGTCCAATCCCACGGGAGGGATTGGAGCAGACAAGTGATATGACCTGACTCGCTTCACCCTGGCTGTTGAGAGACTGTATTACAGATTTTGAGGGACAAAGAAAACAAGGCCTATTAGAGAACTATTGCAGTAACCCAGATGGCTCTGCTGGTGCATGATTACAAGGCTCTGAGCTAGAGCAACTGTCAACATGGAAATGTTTCTCCACCCTCCCAACTTTTTTTTGGTTTTGAGACAGTCTCACTCTGTTGCTCAGGCTGGAATATACTGCCGTGATCTGGGCTCACTGCTGGCCTCATCAGTATTCAGCCACTAGATACATCTAGGGCAAATTACTAACTTTGCCTCCAGTTTCTTCTTCTGTAATAGGATCTACTCAAAGGATTGCTCCAAGGCTTAAATGAGCTCATCCCTGTAAAGCCCTTAGAATAATATTTGACAGCAAGTGTTTACTACATATTAGCCATTATCTTTCAGTCCTTTGTCATTACTTGGGTCTAGGCAAAACACACTATGCAGAAAACACACCATCTCTCTTGGGGCAAGTCATACCTAGTGATGCTGGTGTCACATGACTTGTCAAGTTTCTTCTGATAGTTATCACTGTAATAGTAATGTAACCTCACTTGCAGAAATAAGCTAATGAGCTAAATTTGATGATACTATTGTGAGACTTGAGGTCCCCAAATGTGCTGTGGCATGTGAGTTGATAATCAGTATATTACAGCATGCTGCTGACAAGCAAATTCTCATTTTGGGACATTTAAAATAGGAAAATGAAGAGAGCGTTTGATGATATTCTGAGACAATGAGATACTGTATATATCATTTGAGCACTTTGAACCAAAAGAAAAAAAAAATACCGTTATACATTTGCATAGCATGTTTCAGCTTAAAACACTTCCACACATCTGTATTAGCCAGCTTCCAAGATGGCCATGGTGATCCTTGCCTTCTGGTATTAATGCTGTTGTGTAGTCTTCTCCCACAATGAAACAGGTTGTTCGTTCTGTGTGACCAATAGAATATGGCTGAAGTGTGATTTATGAGGCTAGACCAAAAAAGGATGCTGTTGACATGCATGCTTGAGTTATTTGCTCTGGGGAAAGCCAGCCATGTCAAGAATTCACTCAGATAACCATGTGGAGAGAAACTAAGGCCTCCTGTCAACAGCCAGCATTAGCTAGTCAGCTATGTGAATGAGCCATCTTGGAGATAGATCAGCCAGCCTCAACCAAGCCTTCAGATTGTAGCCTCAAGTGGCATCTAATTGCAACCTCATTAGGCACTAAGTCAGAACTGCCCAATGAAGCTGCTTCTGAATTCCTGACCCAGAGAAACCATGAACTATTTAAGAGTTTAGCCACTTAATTTTGTGGTGATTTGTTACAAAGTAAAAGATAATACACTAATTTGATGCTGCCTATCACACTGTGTAGTACTGGAAAGAAAAACAGAAACTTGAACAAATTAAGCAATTTGCTGATTACATATGTTTAAGTGCCTTACCTCTAAATGCAAATACAGGCTATTTGACTGTAAGCCTCACCAGAAGTCTGTAATACTATCCATGGGAGCTTATTCTGTGACAGCAATTCCCACTGCCATGCCTTTTGCCATACCTATACTCACAAATTCTGTAACAGTGACAGATTTTTTTCATTTTTACTTTCATGGCAGCAGTTGTAGTAAAGATTGCCCTCAGACATACATTCACAGTTCAGTATTAGGATTTCTAACTGTTGGCTCACAGTATTACTCATAGCACTCTTGACTACCTGAATCCAAATTTATTTCTGAAAGCAAAATAATGGCCCTGGGTTTCTTTTTGCTGAAACAAGAAAACTAAGGGGATGGCGGCAGGGCAGGAGCAGAGAATAATGGTCGTTCTTAAGTGTTTTTCCCAAATAATTTTTAAGTAATAAAGAAATGAACATGTTTTTCTTTTTTCTTTTGAGATGGAATCTCACTCTGTCCACCAGGCTGGAATGCAGTGGTACAATGTCAGCTCACTGCAACCTCTGCCTCCTGGGTTCAAGTGATTCTCTGGCCTCAGCCTCCCTGTAGCTGAGATTACAGGTGTGCTTCACCATGCCTGGCCAGTTTTTGTATTTTTAGTAGAGATGGGGTTTCATCATGTTGGCCAGGCTGATCTTCAACTCCTGACCTCAGGTGATCCACCTGCCTTGGCCTCCCAAAGTGCTGGTATTACAAGTGTGAGCCACCACACTTGGCCTGAATTGTATTTTCAGTGAGTCACCAGAACAGCTTACTGCTAGCATCAAACCCCAATCCCTATCTCATATTTCTGCTGGAAAACATTTATTTGCACTAGGCCACAGCAACGAATTTACAAGAGAAGTATATCAACTCTGTGGAGTAGCAGAAATAAGTAAAAACCCACAGGCAACTGAGTAAATACAGAAGTATACTCAAAAACAATTCTATCTCTTGCTCATGAACTACCCTTAACTCTCAGGGATCACTTCTTTAAAGCATATTCTAGAAATTATTAAAGGTATGGAACAGAATTTATTTAGCTTTATGAGGCTTTACTTCACAATATACACCCTTGGCACAGGAGGGCCCCATTAAACTTTCATAAACTGCTTAATAAAGTAAATACTTACATTGATTTTATGAGGCTTTCAGACATTAAGTTTGAGAAAATTAATGGTTATCAGGATTTGCATACAAGATCACAAAACAGTAAAATAAACCAAACAACAAGACTTCCTTATATGCTCCAAAACATAATAAATTGCAATTTCTAGTGAAATATTTATTCCTATGCTATATTCATTTTTGTCTCTTAACTATTTTCCATTTTATGCTTTTTCTTTAGAATCTTTTGCATAATCTCTTCTGTCTTAATAGTATAGTCACCTATTTTAGCTTGACTATATTTTTTCATTCAGAATAGGATATACTTATTAAGCCAGTTATACTCCAATAAACTTGTGAATAAAAAAAAATTAGAGAACAAAAAATTAAGAACAAGTAATGGAGTCATCATTTCACTGATTCCCCCCCCCCCCAATTTCAGGAAAATCATGTCCCTAAAACAGCAATTTTGACTGATTTTTTCCATGTCTAAACAGAAAGAAAAGTGAAATTATGGGAATCCTATGAGAGTTTACTAGACATTGTGTGCTTTTAATAGTTCAACACTGGTAATATTTGATAATCAAGAGTAAATTAATAGGCTAACATTTAAAAATGTATACTTTAATAAGTATAAAGTGTATAAACAATTAGGTAAGCTGTAGAGAAGCTGACCAAGATACATAAATTAGAAGATACAAGTGTCCATCTAAATTTTCTATATTTCATTTTTTTCAGAATATTTATTAAAGGGTTTAATATACAGTTTCTCATCTGTCATTCTGGAAGTCCTTTATTGTAAAGACAATTCTATTGTCTGATGACAAACAGCAGCCACCACAGTTACTCAGGACCTCCACGCTGAAAAGGAAAAAATAAAGCAGTAAGATTAGATGTTAAATTGACCCAGGACATGTTTTGATGGCCACTATACAAATTTATACACTCTTCAGCAAATAATCTTTGGTTTTTAAAAAACAGTTTTGAGGCCAGGCTTGGTGGCTCATGCCTGTAATCCCAGCACTTTGGAAGCCTGAGGCAGGTGGATCATGAGGTCAAGAGTTCAAGACCAGCCTGGCCAACATGGTGAAACCCTGTCTCTACTAAAAATACAAAAATTAGCCAGACATGGTAGTGCACACCTGTAATCCCAGCTACTCAGGAGGCTGAGGAAGGAGAACAGGTTGAACCTGGGAGGCGGAGGTTGCAGTGAGCCAAGATTGTGCCATGCACTTCAGCCTGCGACAGAGTGAGACGCCATCTCAAAAAAAAAAAAAAAAAAAAAAAAAATATATATATATATATATATGGAAAGAGAGAGTCTTGAATTTGTAAAAGCTTTTGGGTATTTGTATCTTTTTTTTTTTTTTTTGAGACAGTTTCCAGAGTTTTGCTCGTCACCCAGGCTAGAGTACAGTGGCATGATCTCAGCTCACTGCAACCTCTGTCTCCCGGGTTCAAGTGATTCTCCTGCCACAGCCTCCCAAGTAGCTAGCATTACAGGTGCCCGCCACCATACCCAGCTAATTTTTTGTACTTTTAGTAGAGATGAGGTTTCACCACATTGGCCAGGCTGGTCTCCAACTCTTGACCTCAGGTGATCCACCCACCCTGGCCTCCCAAAGTGCTGGAATTATAGACATAGCCCCTGTGCCCAGCCCTCATATCAATTCTATAACCATAATTTCAGACTTGAAGGGACTCAAGGTTGACCTGTCCTTAAATTTTTTGGTCTCAGAAGCTCTTTATACTCTGAAAAATTACTGAGGACCCCAAAGAGCTGTTTTTTATGTGAATAATCTATTGACATTGATATAGCACACATATTTACAGAAGGATTTGACTATGGTTTGTTTCTCATAGTCTTGGCCTACCTGATCATCCTGTATTAGCTCTGACCACACTCTGACAAGAAAATGGGAATAGCATGGAAATCAGCAAATGAAGTCCCCAAAGCCCAAATGCTATGGTATTTTGCATAGTCTTGGGATAGAGCAACAACATACTTGGATAAACTCAATTTCTTCTTGAGACACAAGTTTCCTTCTGTATTTCTGAGGTAATGTTTTTATTATTTCTGCAGTGTCTGGTGGACCCTGATACATCAGCAAATCTGGTGATTTACTTCCCTTAGAATGTTGTGAAATTACAGAAGAGTGAGATGGTAGCCCAGCTGATCTCAAAGCTTCTGATACTGAAATTAAAAAGAAAAAAACCTTATTAGAGAAATTATTCAGATGTCAAAATACTGAGTCTTAAAATACTATCAAATAATCAAGTCATTCTTGAAATCAAGTCATTCTTCAATCCTATTTCAAGGATTGAAAAATCCTTCAAAGTCAAGTCAATCTTCAATTCCTTTTGGAATTATAATACTTTAAGAGTCATCCATGTTGGCCAAGCTGGTCTTGAACTCCTGACCTAGGTATCTGCCCACCTTGGCCTCCCAAAGTGCTGGGTTTATAGGTGTGAGCCACCACACCTGGTAATAAGTTAAATTCTACTTACATGCTACATAGGGCACTATTTTAATCTAAGCTACAATAGTCTTAACTGATTTTAAAATGAGAAATATTGCCTATAATAAAATACTCATTTATAAATATTCATGTACACAGTTTTAATAGAAATCTAAATAAAATATAGCTTACCATTGGGTTTAGGATTGTCTCTTCTGTCAGGAAACCTTATTAATGGAGTGTGTGGCTTGACTACCTAAAGGAAAAATAATATGCATGAAAAACAACCTCATTAACTAAAAGAAATTAACTGAAATAAATCTAGTAAACCTCATAAATAGATACTTTTGTTAAAATAACTTACTATTTGACAGCAACTTTAAATTATACTCTTCCCCAACCAGGAAAGCTGGTATGAATTATTAACTTGTCTATCTGGTATTCACAATTTTGTACTTTATACATCACAAGACTTTCATTGTACTGTCAAAGGTGTACTTCAAAGCAACCCAATGGAGGAGATGATGTGGATTTTATGTTGCATGACTTATAGACTGGTAAGAATTGAAAGCTGGCTGGGAGCAGTGGCTTAAGCCTGTAATCCTAACACTTTGGGAGGCTCAGACGAGCAGATTGCATGAGTGGAGGAGTTTGAAACTAGCCTGGGCAACATGGTAAAACCCTGTCTCTACTAAAAAAAAAAGAAGGTGTTGTAGTGTGTGCCTGTAGTCCCAGCTACTTCGGAGGCTGAGGTGGAAGGATTGCTTGAACCCAGGAGGTGGAGGTTGGAATGAGCTCAGATTGCACCACTGCACTCCAGCCTGGGCAACAGAGTGAGACCTGGTCTCAAAAAAAAAAAAAAAAACTGAAAAAATATTGGAAATTTACTAACTTTTTCCTTTTTAAGCTTTTTTTGTTGAGACAGGTTCTGGCTCTGTTGCCCAGGATGGAGTACAGTGGCGCAATCTGGGCTTACTGCAACCTTCACCTCCTGAATGCAAGCAATCTTCCAGCCTTAGCCTCCCAAAGTGCTAGGATTTCACCATACCACTGCATCCAGCCTCCTGACTTGAGTGTTGTTTCCCTAAGATATATATATGTTTTGTTTTGTTTTTTTTTTTTTTTTGAGATGGAGTTTCACTCTTGTTACCCAGGCTGGAGTGCAATGGCACGATCTCGGCTCACCTCAACCTCTGCCTTCCGCCTCCTGGGTTCAAGCAATTCTCCTGCCTCAGCCTCCCGAGTAGCTGGGACTACAGGCACGTGCCACCATGCCCAGCTAATTTTTGTATTTTTTGTAGAGACGGGGTTTCACCATGTTGACCTCGTGATCCACCCGCCTTGGGCTCCGAAAGTGCTGGGATTACAGGCGTGAGCCACCGCACCTGGCCCGTTCCCCTACTATATTAATACCCAATAGGTAAAAAAAAAAAAAAAAAAAAAAAAAAAATCATTTTAAAAATTAGAAAATTAAGAACACTTTTTCTGACTACAAAAGTAACACATGTTCTGTGTAAAACATTTGGAAAAACACAGAAAAGCATAAAGAAGAAAACACTATAATCCCAAGACCCACGTAAAACAAATTTAAACTTTTTCTTTTCCTTTTTTTTTTTTTTTTTGAGATGGAGTCTCCCTCTGTCACCCAGGCTGGAATGCATTGCTGTTATCTTGGCTCACTGCAATCTCTGCTTCCCAGGTTCAAGCGATTCTCCTGCCTCAGCCTCCTGAGTAGCTAGGATTACAGGCCTGCACTACCACAGCCAGCTAATTTTTGTATTTTTAGTAGAGATGGAGTTTCCCCATGTTGTCTGGGCTGGTGTCAAACTCCAGACATTAAGTGATCCGCCCGCTTTGGCTTCCTAAAGTGCTGGGATTACAGGCATGGACCACCATGCCTGGCTCAAATTAAAACATTTGATAGCACTTTATTTTAGTCTTTTCCCTATATCCATAGAAATACTTTTTTTTTTTTTTTTTTTTTGAGAGAGAGTGATTCTCGCTGTGTCACCCAGGCTGGAATGCAGTGCCGTGATGCTGGCTCACTGCAACTTCCTCCTCAAGGTTCAAGTGATTCTCCTGCCTCAGCATCCAGAGTATCTGGAATGACAGGTACCCACCACCATGTCTGTTGTATTTTTAGTAGAGACAGGGTTTCACCATGTTGGCCTGGCTGGTTTCGAATTCCCAACCTCAGGTGATCCCCCTGACTTGGCCTCCCAAAATACTGGGATTACAGGCGTGAGCCACCACGCCCAGCCTGGAATACATATTTTTGGAATACTGTTTTTATAACAGATGTTTGAAAAGTATTAATGTTTTTGTCCATAAAATTCCAGATAGTGGTATAGAGGACCTTAAATGGACCTGTCAATATGAAATCTTCTGAATATACAATGCTAAGAATCTAATGAACAAAGTACTATTTTCAACTGAAGTAATCAATAAATTGCTATATAACGAATGAGGCTGAGGTGTGTTTATGTGAAATATGTTTATATATTTGTAGTATATATTATGCAGTTTATATGGGCACAGAAACAAATAGCTGTGGGATTGGCCTGAAAATTCACCACTGTAATTCTGTTGCTGTGAGAAAATACTGGAATGTGTTCTCTCCCTCACCATAAAATCATGCTCAAGTCTTCCACATTAAAAAAACTTCTTGTACTATTAGCTGTTTCTTCACTTTCATAGCCAAGCTTCTTAAGAGAATGTTCTGTCTATCCTCCTGTCACTCTCCTATTTAAAAGTCTGAAAAATGGCTGGGCTCAGTGGCTGACACCTGTAATCCCAGCACTTTGGGAGGCTGAGGCAGGAGGATGGCTTGAGCCCAGGAGTTCGAGACCAACCTAAGCAAGAAGGTGAGACTCCATCTCTACAACTTAAAAAAGAAAAAAAGTTTGAAAAACGTTCCACAGCTTTCAGGATAAAGTTTAAACTCTTATTTGGCACAAGACCCATTGTAATCTGGCCTTTCCTTACCTTGCCAGCTTTTCTCCACCACTCTCTTATGTACCGGTTGCTCCAGGTATTCTGAAGTACTTTTCCTTTCCCCAATTCATCCTGCTATTTCCATCCCCATTCCATTTAGAGCTTATATCCTCTGCCAGGAAATCTCTCCCCAACCCATTCCACTTCCATGCCTATCCCTCTGACTGGTTATCTTTTATAATAGCTCACATGTCACTCTTCTCTAAGAACCTTCCCCAAATTCCAAAGTCTGAGTTAAAAACTCCTCCTCATGTTTTCAGAGGACAAATAAGTTGGCCAATGATTATAGGAGAGTTTTAAGCTCCTGGACAGGCAGAGATAGAAAATTAAGCACCTCTGCAGTAGCATTCCTGTTACATGGTAAATGACCAAGAAACAGTTGCCAAATAAGTGAATAAACCATTTGCAAGTTAGGTCTAACTGTATAGGCATGTAAATGTGTATTAGACACTTATACAAATGTATGTACACTGTAGAGAAAGAATTCTTTGTAACACTGCTTTTATATACTTAAAAAACATTATTTAATATGGCCTTATAGGCTGGAAATGATGGCTCACGCCTGTAATCCCAACACTTTGGAAGGCCAAAGCAGGTGGATCACTTGAGGTCAGGAGTTCAAGACAAGCCTGGTCAACATGGTGAAACCCCGTCTCTATTAAAAATACAAAAATTAGCTGGGTGTGGTGGTACATGCTTGTAATCCCAGCTATTCAGGAGGCTGGGGCACGAGAAACACTTGAACCCAGGAGATGGAGGTTGTAGTGAGCCAAGATTGCGCCACTGCACTCTAGCATGGGTGACAGAGTGAGAGTCCATCTCAAAAAATATATATTAATAGTAATATGGTCTTATAAATTAAATCCCCACACTGTTTGGTATCCCTACTTCTTTTTTTTTTTTTTTTTTTTTTTTGAGACGGAGTTTCGCTCTTGTTACCCAGGCTGGAGTGCAATGGTGCAATCTCGGCTCACTGCAACCTCTGCCTCCTGGGTTCAGGCAATTCTCCTGCCTCAGCCTCCTGAGTAGCTGGGATTACAGGCATGTGCCACCATGCCCAGCTAATTTTTTGTATTTTTAGTAGAGATGGGGTTTCGCCATGTTGACCAGGATGGTCTCGATCTCTTGACCTCATGATCCACCTGCCTTGGCCTCCCAAAGTGCTGGGATTACAGGCTTGAGCTACCACGCCTGGCTGGTATCCCCACTTCTTAACAACAACAAAAATTTCTTTTGATATAGGGTTTTGCTCTGTTGCCCAGGCTGGAGTGCAGTGGTGTGATCACAGCTCATTACAGCCTCAACCTCCCAGGCTCAAGTGATCCTACCATGTTAGCCTCCAAACTGGGACCACAAGTATGCATCACTACACCTGGCTAATTTTTAAAATTTCTTGCAGAGATGGGAGTCTCCCTATATTCCTTAGGAGGGTCTTAAACTCCTGGGCTTAGCGATCCTCCTGCCTTGGCCTCCCAAAGTACGGGGAATACAGGTGTAAGTCACTGCATCCAGCCCTATACAATGTTTTAAATGCTAAAAAGTAGAATAGTATGAAATAAACCCTGATATATTCATCACACAACTTCAATAATAATATAGTCAATCTTATTTCATCATCCCTTCCTGATTAAACAAATCCCATATATTTAATCCCATCTCATCTGTTAATACCTTCCACACATTACTGACAAACAGAATTTTTGTTAAATCATAACTGCAATACTTTTTTCCCCCCAATTTGAAAGCAATGAAGCCAGGTTCAGTAGCTCATTCATGTAATCCCAGCACTTTTGAGAGGCTGAGGCAGAAGGATCGCCTCAGTCCAGGAGTTCGAGACCAGCCTGGACAATAAAAAGAGACTCTGTCTCTACTAAAACTTTTTAAAATTAGCTCAGCATGGTGGCGTAGGCCTATAGTCCCAGCTACTTGGGAGGCTTAGGTGGAAGATCACTTGAGCCCGGAGATTGAGGCTACAGTAAACCAGGCAAGATCATGCTACTGCACTGCAGCCTGGGCAACAGAGCAAGAGCTTGTCTCAAAAAAAAAAAAAAAAAAAAAAAAAAGGCAGTCACCGTTTATTAACTAACCAGATTACAAATATAATCATGGTAGATACCTTAGTTCATCCTAGTTTTTGTTCAGGTAAGCCCCAATACTTTCACCCCACCTAACTAACAATAATTCCTACTTATCATCTAATATTTAGCTTATGTTCACATTTCCCCTTCTTGACTGGGTGTGGTGACTCACACCTGTAATCCC